CATGAATACTACAAGCAGCTGGGGTCAGGTCATGACATCTGGGTGAGACACACAACTGCATGGAGAAAAGGGGATAAGCAATAGTGGGTTGAAGGGAGTGCAAAGGAGACCGCAGGACCCAAGGAGGAAGAAACTGGATACATGACAAGACATTCCAGAGTTTTGATATGAAGAGCTGGAGGGGTGGGAGGAGTGCTGGGAAAGTGCTCTATGAATGCTGCAGGTGTGCTGGGCTTCAGTGGGAACCCTGCAAGGGACAGACTTTCAGGAGGAGCTTAAAGGCACAAAAGTTCAACTGCAGGAAAGACACACAGCTCTCACCCATTGTTACCTGTTGACCAGCATACCACGATCAGGACATGATGAAACTAGCCCTGCTGGAAATGAGGCCCTGATGGCCTCCTCTGCAGCGTTATCACTCTGGTAAGATGGTGGGATATTACACATACACAGCAGAGCTTTACATGTGAACAGGTTTTGGCACAGCGTTTCTCAGAAGGAAGTCCTGCTTTACCACCCACATTCTCCCGTATCCGCTGTGGCAGACACATTTCCCGTCGTGCCCATGGTGCAACCTGTAGTCTTACAAATGAATAGCTCACTTCACTCAGACTGTTTGCAACAATCTTTTGTTTGATCACTCTTTGGGCTACAGAACAGCGTAAAATGGTGCTGCCAGCCATCCCATTAACTTCTGCTTCCTCAGCAGCACTCACCCGACAGGACTGTCTGAGTACTCACATGCTTTGCGAGGGGTTCAAAAATCCCACTGCTGCTTTCCTTAGGTTCCTACAGGCTGACTCACCTCACTGAGCTGCCCAGTTCTTGATGCACCTTTGTGATAATCGGAAGGGCTGGGGCAAAGGTGCAATTGCATGCTAATCCCTTCACTTACCCACAGATAATGAATGGGTAAGAAGGAAAAGCCAGACACAGAAAAGATGCAGAACATATTAATTACAATTAAGGAGGTCACCGTGTTAGTGTCTGTAGTTCCTATTACCACAGCTACCGAGAGTTCTGTCTTTTAAAACATTTAGGAAAAATCATGCTAACTCCTCTCAGTGCTAACACTGTGATACAGCATGGGCCTGGATTTTTGCAGTGCTTCTCCCTCCCTAATTTGTTTCCTCCCTTGAAGGGATAATTCCATGAAATTACTCCTATTTCCTGTAAAAAGGGACACTCCCAACCTGCAAAACCAAAAGGGCTTTTAAATGCCCACATCTCCAGCTGTTACCTACATTCTTTAAATGCCTCGGTACAGCCCAGAGGATGAGCAAGGGAATCATATCCCATTAGCAGCTGAACCAGAACAAAAAATGCCAGAAGACAAAGCCACACAAAGCCTCCACACTGGCCTGCAAGAACTGACAACCAGATGTTCTGCAAGTATTCTGCACAATTAATTAATAAATTTAATGATAAAAAGAAAGCTGAGCCCAACAAATTAGCCAACCCCCTAAGTCACAAATAAAGCACCTCTACTAAATATGGACCAGGAGTGCTGACTAGATGGGAGTCAGGGGAACAGGCCACTGCTGAGGAGCAGTTGCCTGGAGACACCTCTACAGCATCTCAGAGAGGAAGAAACCAGCTGCAGCTGGCATGATGGGGCTGGTGCCCTTCCCTTCAACTCAAGAGCACTACCTATGGGGTTGCTCCATATCTCTGGGTGAAAGTCCCCAGTGCCCCAGGAAAAGGATGGCTGGATGGAGGATTAAGCCAGACCTCTTTCAGGGTCTACAGCAATGCAGGATGTTTAGGTATTTTCAGGGTAACAGCAAGGACCTTGCTGTGGGACTCAGGTGGCTGTGGGTGTATCTGAAAGAAGAAAGTCATGGATGCTTGAGGATTGCAAGGGGAGAATTGACAAGAATATCCAGTTCTTGTTCAAGAGCTTTACCCATACTGAAAACACCACTAGGAGCTATCGTGTGGGCCTGGCCAGACTGCCGGGAGGTGGGATGGGCTCAGCCCCTGGAAGGTACAGCAGAACATGTTTTAGTGGCACACTGGGAATAAATGGGGCTTCCCTCTGTTAAACCAACAAACAAAAAAACAGCAAGGGAAGCAAAGGGATGTAGTTAAAGGCAGGGATGGGAAGAGAGAGGCAGGGTTCTTGAAATCTGGTGTCATTAAAGACCCTGGATGGCAGGGGTGGGAACCCCATTTGCAGCTCTTGAAGGTGCCCAAAACTGCAGCTGCAAGATGGGTGGGTGGGAAAAGTAGCAAACGCGTGTGTCACCCCAAATGGGTTTGCCATAATGATAAACAGGGAAGCCCAAGAGGGAGTTAGAGCTGGGGCAGAGGAGAGGCAATGCCAAAAGGGACTGCATGACTCAGCAGCAGAGATCACAAAAAGAGGAGCCCTTGATGAGCACTGGCAAGTAAATAGCCATTTCGGCACACTGGAGGTTTGAACCAGAGCTGCAAATTGGATGGAGGTGTGAGGGCCTGGAAAAGCAGCTGGGGCAAGGACACACCACCCCTGAGGGGGCTGAGGTCATTGGAGGTGAGTGTGGGAGACTAAAGACGACAAAGGGTAGAGGAAGACAAGGCATAAAGGAATGCTTGAAGGAAGAAAGAGAGACAGACAATGATAGCAAGAAGGAAGAGAATTTTTCAGCCTTTTAGAGGTTCACATTTCATTTTGAATTAAGGATTTATTTTCTGTTTTGGCTATGATTCATTATTCATAGCTCTGTGTTTGCCAATACATGTTACTTCAGCACAGGCAAGTTACTGCGTTTCATTTAAATTTGAATTAAGGGCAGCTGATACTGACTGAAGCATTATATTTTTTTTAGGTTAATATCTTTGTTGTAATGAAACAGGTTTACAGAGTATTTGCATTATTAAAATACTTCATAAAGCAAACAATTAGTTTGGTCTTCATATCAAAAATAAGCAGTTTCAACAAATTGCCTTGTGCTATTTATAGTAGTTGCATAGAGCCTGTGTTGCTTGTATACAGTCAGGGACTGACAAAGTTATGCAGTTACCCATTAATTACTCATGGATATCAGTGTAAAGCACTTAGCTTGCCTTCTTACCACAAAATCTGAATGTCCCTCAGTTTTTGATGTTTTTATTCTCACAGCATCCCATCCTATAATAACAAGAAATACTATTAAACCTGTTGAAATTAATGGGACGCGGATGCTGAGCTGGATCCTCTAAATACTGTGACTGTTCAGTGAAAAGCACAACCCGGGGTTAGGTATTTATATACGCACCAGAATAGCTGATCCTGACTCACAACAGGGTTTGAAACGGTTGCTTCCAAGGGATTTTCCAAATCCAAATATTGCTGGTGTAATAAAACTTGTAAATTCAGAAGTATAGAAAATGTGTATTTTCCATGTGAAATATCAGATTTTCTATATCTTTTATGTTTAGTTTTGCATGTTATTTCTAACAAAATTTCTTGCTGACACTATAGGAAAATACAGTTTTCTCTTTTTCTTTGAAATCGTCCACATTTATTATGTATTTTTCTGTTGCACTAGATTTTTTTTAGACAGGTGTACTCTGCGCTGGGTCAAAAACTGGCTGAATGGCCGGGCCCAGAGAGTTGTGGTGAATGGGGTTCAATCCAGTTGGCGGCCGGTCACGAGCGGTGTTCCCCAGGGCTCAGTATTGGGGCCAGTTCTGTTCAATATCTTTATCAATGATCTGGACGAGGGGATCGAGTGCACCCTCAGTAAGTTTGCAGACGACACCAAGTTGGGCAGGAGTGTTGATCTGCTCGAGGGTAGGAAGGCTCTGCAGAGGGACCTGGACAGGCTGGATCGATGGGCCGAGGCCAACTGTATGAGATTCAACAAGGCCAAGTGCCGGGTCCTGCACTTCGGCCACAACAACCCCATGCAGCGCTACAGGCTTGGGGAAGAGTGGCTGGAAAGCTGCCTGGCGGAAAAGGACCTGGGGGTGTTGGTCGACAGCCGGCTGAACATGAGCCGGCAGTGTGCCCAGGCGGCCAAGAAGGCCAACGGCATCCTGGCCTGTATCAGAAATAGTGTGGCCAGCAGGAGCAGGGAAGTGATAGTGCCCCTGTACTCAGCACTGGTGAGGCCCCACCTCGAATACTGTGTTCAGTTTTGGGCCCCTCACTACAAGAAGGACGTCGAGGTGCTGGAGCATGTCCAGAGAAGGGCAACGAGGCTGGTAAAGGGTCTGGAGAACAAGTCTTATGAGGAGCGGCTGAGGGAACTGGGGTTGTTTAGCCTGGAGAAAAGGAGGCTGAGGGGAGACCTCATTGCTCTCTACAACTACCTGAAAGGAGGTTGTAGCGAGGTGGGTGTCGGTCTCTTCTCCCAAGTAACTGGCGAAAGGACGAGAGGAAATGGCCTCAAGTTGCGCCAGGGGAGGTTTAGATTGGATGTAAGGAAAAAGTTCTTTACTGAAAGAGTGGTTAAACATTGGAACAGGCTGCCCCGGGAAGTGGTTGGGTCACCATCCCTGGAAGTATTTAAAAGACATGTAGATGAGGCACCTAGGGACATGGTTTAGTGGGCATGGTGGTGTTGGGTTGACGGTTGGACTCGATGATCTTGGAGGTCTCTTCCAACCTTAATGATTCTATGATTCTATGATTTGGAAGAAATTAAATATCTGTAGCTCATTTGTCTTCACATATAACTTCTACTAGTGTAGTAAATTTTGGAAGAATTTGTATTGCTGTCCCACATTCATGCATTTAAAAAACTCATCAGTAAGCCACATATTTCCTAAACTTTGATTTATTGCATATACATATGTGTACATGAAAAAAAAGTTCAACAGCAGTGAAATCCAACATAAATAAAGCATGAGACTAATCATTATTTTGTTCGATCTGTTTATCTAGGATCACCACATAGTGGAGAGGAGCCACAGGCTGAGACAAGTCTTTGTACTTTCCCAAGTCCGTCACGCTCATTCACAAACAGGTCTTGATTCTTCTTCAGGGGAAAAAAAAAAAGATACGGGTATCTTTCTGAACCCCAGGATGACATTTATTTTTTGTGCTGTCGTTTCTGCTCTATGGCTGAATTCAAAGCCTGAAGGATCAGATGTTTGTTGTTCTGAATGTTGTAGCTGGTCAGTTCTACCAGCTTGTCGAATTCCTCCTCTGTGTAGGTAAAGCTGTTTAAGCAGTAGGGGGAAAAAACGCTGGAAACGTCCACATTGCCCTGTGCCATCTCAGCAGGGCTACGCTCCACACCTAACAAATAAAGAAAGGTCGTCAATGGGGTACAGATGTGGTCCCACGTCCTGCTTTCCAGATGGGGCACAACGTTGCTCCTCGCTACCCAGACACCCACATTTCTCTCCCATGGGAGCTGCGGCAGGGGAGGGAGGGAGCCATGATGGACCATGCCTCCCATCCCAACATGGCTGAAAGGCAGGTGGGTGGCAGGAGGACCATCTCTGCACCACGGCTTACCAGGCTCTTTGTATTTTCTGAAGGTGTCATTCACTAGCGGGAAAAACACCACCATTGGCGCCTCTGGGGTCTCTGCGTCTTCGAAGATGTAGCACTCCTTTAGATTTTTCTTTTCCTCTTCACTCAGGTGGATTTTGGGAAATGGGATTCCCTGCTTTAGGAAGTACTTGGAGGCTTCTTCCAAAGGCTGCATTCAGACAGAAAAAAAGGTCAGAAATTCTGCCACCCCCCCAACTTTTCCTAATGCACAATGCATCCATCAAAGGCTCTTCACAAAGATTGGGGAGCAGCATTTGCTGTCAGTATTTCTTCTGGCCTTTGTCTCTTGTGTGAGATATTAAGTACTGGTTATTAACAGAACAACAGTTCAAGACCCAGCCTCCAACTTGCACTCCGGATTGTTGTCCTACCTCCTCCTCCTCAGCCTTTATCTGCAAGATAAATAAGATGTTCATGGCTGTGGGCAGGGGTGGCCTAGCCGCTTAGGACACATAAACATGCCCCTTACTTGAGAAAATCCTGAAGTGAGCAGAATGGACAGGAATCTGAAATGGTACAATTTTTAAATACAGATTCGCAAAGGTACAAACATTTTGTGGACTTGGCATGAAATATTTAAAAGCACCTAACTGTCTTAGATGCCTTAAGATGGTTGTGAAAAGTGATGTATGCATCTGGGAGCAAACATCATCTTGACTGAAATGTTAATTTAATCTTGCGGGTGTGTAAGTAATTTTTGAAAATAGGATTTTTGTTCCTGAGTCTGTTTGGCGCATATGAAAAACTGTAGTGTTCAAGAACTTCTGTCTTATCCATATCTAATAACAGGAATTACAAGCCAAGTTGTTAGCTGGTATTTGAAACAGCAGATATGGCATCAAAGGACAATTCTTCTCCACAATTTAGAACAACAACAAAAAAAACCCCAGTTACTCTTCTAAAGGCAACTGGACAAATTACTTCTAATTCAACTGCATGTGGATATCTTCAGATGAATATCACAAGACACATGAAACGAGTTCATCAGTGGTGGTACTAGTTCCAGAGAAACACTCCATAGGGAGTGTAGCCTCAATAGCCATGTCAAGGTCTCAGGAGCACACAGGTCTGGGAGAGAACATTTACCTACCAGAGGTTTAATTAAAATAAAAGATAAGAAAACTGATACTACTTCTGTTCTCCTTAGGGGATTTGCCATGGTATACCAGCATCACTGAGAGACATAGACATCTACAAAATGGGAGCTGTACACCAAGAATCCTTTTCTCCCAGAATCAGTTTCTTCTATGTAAATTATTCTGACTCTTTAGGAGTTAAAGTGCTAAAAGAGCTAAAAGACAGTGGTCGTTACTGAAGAAAATAAAGTGGTCATCACACCGATGTCTGTGATCCAGAAGAATAGTTTAAGTGGAGGACAACATCCACTTTCCTCTCCGGCCTCATGAGCGGTGGGTAGCTGATATCGATGTATCCCGCCGTGTCTGCCAGGCACATGAACTCTGCTGTTTCTGTCAGCTGGTTGGGGAAATTCTCTAGTACAGTATCTAAAAGGAAATATTTCTTATGATGAGTGATTCACTGAAGAAGTCATATATCTGTTGTTTGCCTAATAAGGGAGGGAAAAATGCCTCTTGTCTCCCCATTACTTTTGCTTTCCAAGACCCTGCCACACTACGGAAGCTCAGCCTTGACACAGAAAAGAAAGACCTGTCCGAAGCAAAAAGACAGAGCTCCTTCACTTCTCATGCTGCTCTTCTTCCATCCCCCTTGAGCAGTAGTTGCCCTTCCCTGGAACCGAGGGACTTCTTGGAGTATTTGTTAACACTTTAATTTCAGTAAAAACAGGGCTGTGCCACAATTTGATCTGTTTTGCAATTTCACTTTAAGCTCAGTGAAAAAGCGCTGATACCTAACAAGTCACATCTGTTAAAGATGTTCAGCTTTGCCCAGCTGATTTGACTGGATGAAATTTAACTAGTTATCTTGAAAGTTGTGTTTCCAAAGTGAAGAATAAATCCTGTTCATCCTCTGCCTTCTCTTCACTAATGAAAACACCAACCATCTAAGCAGATAAAAACTAATATTTAGGGATGTTTACCTTTCCATATATGGAAGCTTTTGCTCTGAAGGTATTCGTTGTGCACCTGGAACCCTTTCAGGAAGTTGTAGAACTTTGAAACCATCACCCGCTCGGTCAGGACCTGCCGAATGATGCCCATGATGCCACATTCAGGGGTGACTAAGTAAGTCCCCAACTCATGGCTCCTGGCTGGTGGGGAAGGCTCATCTCCTTCTGAAGGGTAGAGGAGATGAACAAGTTGTTGTTTTGATACAATTCTTGGCAATACTTAAAATATCAAAAGGCATCTAATATTAGCTAGAGAAAAGAAGATCCTAATAAGACATGGCAACACACGATCAAATCAATGTCAAAGTAGGAACAAGAAGAAAATCAATGTTCAAGTAAAGCATATTCCATCGAAAACAAAGTCAGAGTGGAAACAAATTTCTTAAAGCTGGAAAAAGTGATCTACTGTTTGATGGAAGTCATAGGTGGATTCCCTGTGTGAAGGTCAGTGGAGGCTGAGAATCTGGACCAGTTTCTTTCAGAATTAGTCCAAACTAGCTTAGAAAAAAAATACTGCCAGGAGACTTAGACACCCAGAAAAGAGCAGAGAAAAAGGATTGTGCTAAATGGCACCTCATGAGGTTGGGAAAGAGGGCCAATGACTTTCTATCACAGGTATTTATTGAGCTCAGGGTTCTGCAACGCTTCCCTGGAGAAAGTGATGAAAGGGCCATAAACCAAACTCACTAACCACGTTTGAACACAGGGAGGACAGCCAACAACTCTAAGGAGCACACAGGTTTACAACGAGATTAAAAAAAATTGAAATGGAGTTCCACGTAATTGATATATCCAAGTCTTCAACAACAACATGTGAAAAGTACGATCTGCCAAGGCAGACAGAGGACACAGCACCGAGAGGTTTGTTACAACATGTAGGTTCACTGAAAGGCCCCTGGCAAATATGATCTGTTAAAAAACTTCAGTAGTTTTATATATGGTGGCAAATCATCACTTGCATAAATTCAGTCCAAGGGAGACTAATGGAAATAATGTTGCTAGGAATGAATTCAGAGAGGAAACCTAATTAGAGATTGCTGGCAACATGACACCTCGGGGGGGGGGGGGGGGGGGGGGGGGGGGGGGGGGCGTAGGGGG